ACAATGGCAACCCATTTACCATTTTGTTTATTTGGTTTTTGGACCACGCCCAGTGGTGCTCAGGGCTTACTCCTGGCTCTGCACTCAGCGATCACTCCTGGAGGGCTCAGGGGACCATCTGGGGTGCTGGGATCAAACCCAGATTGACCATGTGACAGGGCAAGCACCCTACCTGCTTGCACTGTCTCTCCAGCCACTGTTTTCTTGTGTGTGTGTGTGTGTGTGTGTGTGTGTGTGTGTGTGTGTGTGTTTTCTTTTTTTTACAGAGAGCCCGGCAAGCTACCGAGAGTATCTCGCCCGCACGGCAGAGCCTGGCAAGCTCCCCGTGACGTATTCAATATGCCAAACACAGTAACAATTGTCACAATGAAGACGCTACTGGGCCCGCTCGAGCAAATCGATGAACAATGGGAGGACAGTGACAGTGACAGTGATAGAGAAGAGAGTAGACGAGGAACATATTACTGCTGTGTTCCCGATGTGGAAATTAAAGGTAGCAGGAATTCACTGCACAATACGCTGCCACGGGGTTCCTGGGGCGTGGCTGAGTGGCCTGCATGTGTGACTGAGAACTTGAGCCCCTTGACGTTTCCATCGGAGTGAGGTCACTAGCACGCTGCCACTTGTATGACCTCTAGCACATCAGAACCAAGTGGGTGCCACGCCCCCTCTTCTGTTACCCCACACACACCCACCCCACACACACCCAAGCACTGCACATGTTTGATCCCTGATATTGCCTCAGCAGAGGGGAGGGGAGTGGCGAGGCAGGGGACTTAAGGGTACCCAGAAAGTTCGCTCAGGATTGTCACTGAGTCTCTGAGTGTTCAGTAACTCTGCCAAAGTCAGGATCTCTGCTCTCTAAAACCCCTTAAAACTCTGCTCTAAATCTCTGCTCTCTAAAACTTTCTAAAACTGGCTTGCAGTCTAAACCCCTCTGCATGAAACTGGGATGCCTTATTTCCTCCATCAGAAAGGAGCCAAGGGCCAGAGCTGGACCCCTGCTCCCCGTGTCTGTCAGGCGGCTGGTGCCATTGGCCCCACGCTGGGGCTGGACTGAGGAAGCCTTGGAGGGATCTGTCGTGCAGCCTCCATTGTGCCTCTGAGCTCAGGCCCCGAGGCGAGGCCTCCAGTGTAAACCAGATCTTGTTCAGACTTGATTCTCCTTCCCCTCCCACTCTGCAGTGCTCGCTTCCCAGCAGCCGGGCCTCAGAGGCGGGGGAGCGTGAGGTGTGTGTGTGTGCTGGGCTTGGGGAAGCCAAGATTGGAGATCTGTCTGTCACTGTTCCTCGGAGATCACAGCTGGTCAGACCTGGATGATCCCCAGGACCAAAGTCTTCCTCCTCACACCCCACACCCTTTTTTGGGTGCACTAAGGAAGGGGGATGAAAGGGCCGCTAAGGACTTGCCTTCAGGGGTTCAGATTCCCCTCCCTTGCCTCCCTGTGGGGCTGCCGGGTGCTGGGCCCCTTGGGGAGGGTGAAGTGGCAGCTCACCCTGGGCTCAGAGATCAGCTGCAGGCAGAAGGCACCTTCTGCTTCTCTGACAGTCCAGGCCAGGCATGAATGGGCTGGGGACATGGGGGAAGGAGACCCAGGTGCCCTCCCCAGCACCACGTGGTCTCCAAGTACCAAGCTAGGATTAGCCACCGAACACTGCCCACCCCACCTCCAGACTCCTTGAATCACCTCAGGTATGAACTGTCCCTCTGTTTGTGTAATTTGTTATTATTTGTTTTGGGGACACTTCCAGCAGTACTAAGAGCTTACTCTGACTCTGTGCTCAAGGATCACTCCTGGCAGGGCTCAGGGGATCATATACAGCAGTGGGGATCTGGCGAGGGCCGGCTGGGTGCAAGGCAAGTGTCTTACCTGCCGTCCTATGTCTCCAGCCCCTGAGTTCCAGCCCAGCACCAGCCCCCAGCTACTTTCAGTTAGGGGATTAAGGCAGACATAGCAGTTTCTCATACCCTTAAGAAGACAATGCCTCAGTTCACACAGACCCCGTACACAGAGGGGGTCCTAGATGCAGCTGGGGTGTAGGATGGCTGTACTTCCAGCCGGCTAAATACATGCTGACCTTTGCATAGCCATGCAATCATCTAATGAAGCATTTCTTAAAGATATCCTGTGGGCACTTAAGAAACACCTGACTGCTGTGAGCTCTGGGATCACTCCCCGTGGGGCTCAAGGGATCCCGCATGGGGCCAGGATCAAATCTGAGTCAGCTGCACAAGGCAAACTCCCACCTACTAACTGTACTATCCCTCTGGGCACAAGAGTTTGCATTATGGGAGAATTGATTCTTCATCAGTATTTTTGATCTGAGGACCTTTCCCTGTGGTGCTCAGGGGTTACTCCTGGCTCTTTGCCCAGAGGCATCCCACATGTAAAACCTGATGATGGCTGTACTGGCTTGCAGTCTAAGCCCCTCTGCATGAAACTGGGCTCCAACCTTCTCTGGCCCTGTGAAAATTGTTTATTCTCGGAGAGCCCGGCAAGCTACCGAGAGTATCTCACCCGCACGGCAAAGCCTGGCAAGGTACCCATGACGTATTCGATATGCCAAACACAGTAACAACAAGTCTCATGATGGAGACGTTACTGGGCCCGCTCGAGCAAATCGACGAACAACGGGAGGACAGTGCTACAGTGCTACTTAGTGGTGCAGGGAATTGAACCCAGCACATGCAAAGCAAGTACTCCACAGCTGAGCTATGCCCTGGGGCCATACTTGAGGGCAACTCCCAGAGGTGCTCAGGTACCCTCTGGGACTTCTGAAAGCAAAGAGTGCTGTATACAGTCCTCCGAGCCAACTCCCTGCCTCCACGGGTCAGCCTTTTGAGGTGAGGATTCTCATCTGTAAAACATTACCATATTTCACCTATAATCATCATACCTCCTTTTTTTTTTCCATTGCAAAACTTGGTTTGTCACTTCGTACTTTCATTGTCTGTATAACCATCGCCTTGTGTGGTATGATTCTGTTCTTCCTGCATTTGTTTTCTTGCACACTGGCAAGATTCTCATCTGCAAAACATTACCATATTTCACCTGTGAGCGCCACACCCTGTGCTTTTTTTTTTTTCAGTGCGAAAATTGGTTTGATACTTTGTACTTTCATTGTCTGTATAACCATTGCATTGTGTGGTGTGATTCTGTTTCTCCGGCATTTGTTTTCTTGTACACTGACAAAGGTCAGCCTAGGCTTCTCAGTGTGGGTGCATTGTGTTTCTAATCAGATTTCTGGAAACGCAGCTGATGAGGTTCGATTAGAGTGCGCAATACTTTTGGCACTGTCTCTCAACCCAGCAACGGGCCTAAGGCTCACTGGCTGCGCAGCCCGCCAGGCTGGTGAAGGAAGCTACTACAAGTCACATGATATGGCGAGACTGGCTTCTTCTGGTGCCAATGAAACTAGTGCCTTTTTGGGGGGTGTGGGGTGGTGGTTGGCTCACACTCAGCTGCGCTCAGGGCTTACTCTTATCCCTCCTGCCTTTGCGCTCAGGGATCACTTCTGGCGATGCTTGGGGGACCACATGAGGTGCCAGGGTTGAGTCAAGGTCAGTCACATGCAAGCACCTTTACTTGCTGTATTGCACCAGCCCCAGAACCACAGTTCTACAGTTCACCTGCCAGTGATAGACTGGAACAGGAGACTGCACTTGGTTTCAGCAGTTTCTGATGCACATAGTAATAGCATGTTTTCTTGAGCATAAGACACAACAGGTAGATGTTCTCAGTGGCCTAAGATCACTCTTGCAGCCTCCAGATGTGTGCGCAGCAAATCCTACAAATGGTATTTAGACAGTATGTTAGAAATAAAAGCGTGTGGCTTAAATGGTATACAAATGAATCACTTCTACAATAGGGAATGATGTGCCGTCATCACCAGTAATTGCCTGCCTGCCATCACCCGCCTCATCCCATACATGGATGTTTTTGGGACCCCCTGGTGGTGCATAGGGCTTACTCCTGGCTCTGCACTCAGGGATCATTCCTGGAAGACTTGGGGAACCACATGGGGTGCCAGGGATCAAATCTTGGATGACCAAGTGCAAGGCAAATGCCCTACCCGCTGTACTTTGGCTCTGCCCCACTCCCCGAAAATATTGTACCCTTTGAAACTGTTATGCATGTGGGCAATTAAGAGTCAGGACCTTATACCGCACAAAGCAGTCGTCAAAATTTTCAAAAGGACAGGAAATTTGATGCACTCAATGGATCTGAAAATGGCTCTGTGATAGAGCCATGAAGCGAACATCACGAGAGGCTCTGAGAAGGATGCTGAGATCACAAAACCAAAGACAGTGGCACAGTCTTCAGACACAGACTGACATATGTAAACACACAACTTCAGAACACTGTAGTAAATTTTCTCAACAGTAATGCATTAATCAATGCAAGTAATGAGTTTTTTTTTTTTTTCCCAGACAGGAGAAGTACTCAGTACACTGTCAGGAAGGAAAGATGTGTATTGGCTAAGACTTCAATTTTTACATATCTTTACGAGCATTCCAAGCTTCCTAATCTTGCACCAAAGACAGTTTAAGAATAAACACCCTGGGGCTGGAGCTATAGCACAGGGGGAGGGCCTTTGCCTTGCCTAGATTCCCAGCGTCCCACATGCTCCCCCCAGCATCCCCAGGAGTAATTCCAGAGTGCAGAGCCAGGAGTAACCCCTGAGTATCTCCGGATGCGACCAAATCAGCAAAAGAATAAACACCCTTACACACACAAGCTTTATATAATGCTGTTCCCCAGGTGTGTTTTTTTTTTTCTAAAAAAAAAAAAAAGGCATCAAAATCAAAGCTGAAATCAGGTAGTGAACGACGGTATTTGAGCTCTTGCTGGTAGAAAGCTCCCTCCCTCCGGGCGCCCGGTCCCCCGGCCTCGCAGCGGCGCCCCCGCCCGCGCCACCGCGCAGGCGCGCTGGGCGGGGCGCGGGCGCGGAGGGCGCGGAGTGCGCGTGCGCGCGGGCGGCCTTATAGGCGCGGCGTCAGCTGACGCTCCGCATTGCAGAGTCGGAGCGGCGCGGCGTCATGTTGGGCCTCCTCCTGCTGGCCAGCGTCCTGGGCGCGGGTAAGCGCCGGCCGGGCCCCGACAGCCGGGGGACCGGGACCCCGTGCCCGGCGCGCGGGGCTCCGGGCGGGGCGGGGCCGGGCCGCGGGGCGCCCGGACACCCGGGCACCCGGGCACCCGGGCGGGGACGGCGGCCGCGGGCACCCTAGGGCGGCGGGCGGGGCGGCCGCGCGTGCCGGGGCCCCGCCCCCACCCTCGGGCCTGGCCCGGGTGGACACGCCGTGACCCTCTGCCGCTGCACTGCCAGCCGGCGCCCGGCGCCCGGGCCCGGCCTCCCCAGGTCTCCACCGCGATCCAAGCTGCAGGAAGCAAAACGCCTCATTGATTAGGGTGGGGGTGGGGCGGGGGCGGGGACTGATCGATTTCAGTTTGGGGGCTGCACCTGCTGCCGAGGTGCCGGGGATCGAACCCCGCTCGGCCGCGTGCCAGGCAAGCGCCCTGCCCCCCCAACCCCCTTTGCAGGAGCGACGTCTGTATTTGCGCGTGGCTTATACCTTTGTGTAGTTGCTTGCAAACTGGACTTTTTTGGGGGAGGGGGAGGGTGGTCGCAGGGTTTCTTTCCCCCCGTTGAACAGGCCTCAGTCCGCCGTGTTGGCCGAGCGCGCAGCCGTTGGTGCGTTTGGACAGTCGCCCCCCTTCCGGGGAGGGTGTCCGTTGGTGGGGGTGCGCCCGGGAGGGTGGCCCACCTGCTGGCTCCCGGGAGGGGCCTGGCGCGGTCTCCGTGGCCCCGGGAGCAGGTGCAGCGCCCACCCGGGCGAGCCGGGCTCCCAGGTTCAGCCCCGGTTCCCTGCACCTTTGTTTTTGTTGTTTCCTGGCCACGCCCGCGCGTTGGTGCTCAGGGCTTAGCTGCTGGCTCTGGGCCCAGGGGCTCGCTCTTGGTCCAGCCGCGGTGCCCGGGATCCAGCCCCCCTCTGCTGCAAGGCGAGGGCCCCCCGGGAAAGGAGTGGGGCTGAGGAGTTGGCACAGGCCCACGGTTTGGTGGTGGGAGAGGGGAGGAGCGAGGTTTGTGTGTATACCTGGGGGGAATCTGGAGGTTTCTGGTTAATAGACGCTCAAAGGGAAATAAACCTGACCTTTAGGCCGTCGGTTTCAGTTTTTATTTTTGCTGTACATGAAGTTAGCTCATTGCAATATCATCATCCACATTTCATTGCTTAATTTTTAATTTAATGTTTTTTTTTTGTTTGTTTGTTTGTTTGTTCTTGGGCCACACCTGGCCATGTGCAGGCAGAGCTGACTCCTGGCTCCGTGCTCAGGGATCACTCCTCGAACTATATGGGGTGTCAGTTTGTGTGCAAGAGCAAGTGTCTTCCCGTTGCCCCCTCTCACTAGCCCCCGCCCTCATTTTAATACACAGTGGCAGAATGAAGGACACGATTGATGGGGAACCAGATATATTTACAGATGAAATGGACATAGGATGTGTCACTCATGTTAGCTTCCCGCATTTCCCAAGAATGTGTCTGAGCCTTAATTAAACCAAGCTCTTAAACTTGCTTCACTGGTAGACTATGAAAGGCGGTCTGCTTATAAAAAGGCCCTTGTTTTTATTGTTGCCGACGAGAACTTCTTGCCAGATTTGATACTGTGATCTGGGTGATAAATCAGTGCTGGTCTCGGACATTTTCTCTACTGATGGAGAACCTTGTGATTTTTTTGGTGAAGCAGTTCTCTTTTTTGCAGTGAGTCATTCCCCAAGAGACGCTGACAGTGCTGAAACCCTGATGCCCAAAAGGAACTTATTTCTTTGGGAGTGCAGAGCTGTCCCCTGGTGTCTGGGTTCGCCAGGATGTTACACAGAGCCCAGAGACCCTCTTCACAGGACTTTACAGGCCCCTGGAGTAGGTGGCAGTATTTAATTATGGCCTTGCTCCAACCTCGCTCCTGGGCGTTTTATGATTATCCCAAGGTCTTGCTAGGAGTGTTGTGAAGGCCCAGTTGCCCCCCAGGTTTCTGATGACACTGATGCCGAGCTTGTTACGGAGACTAGTGACTTGTATAGTGACTTTTGGCACAGTCGCTCATAAGAGGCACTTAGAATTTGTATTTCCACAGTGTCATCCTGAATCTGGAGGATTTATATTGTATTTTCATGAGGTCCTACCGTGAGAATCTTAGTTTGCTTAATCAAAAAAAAAATAGGATTATTCTTTTCCCTACCTGGATTAAAAAAAAAGTAAAAATATTTCCCCACCTGAAAGAATAAGGAAAATTCTATAGAGAGAATTGCAGGTGGCTAACCTGTCCTGTCCTTTGGGGAGTCCCAGGCTCAGCAGTGAGGGGGTGGGAGGACTATTTGCAGCTCTATAATTGCTCTTGGCCCTGCTGGGGGCTGGGGAGTGGTGCTGGGTCCACGGTTGACATTTCCACATGGGAAGCATGCTCCTCCTTGCTTTGTGCTCTCCCCAAACGAGTCCTTTGTGTTTCGGCTTCTCCCTACTCTGACTCCTGGCAGCCCTGGGGGACAGTGCAGCTCCCAGGATCAAACCTGGACTTCTGCCTGCATAGTGTGTGCTCAGCCCTTTGTCCTCACTCCCTGGCCCTCTGATCTAACTGCTTTATAAGGGGTGATGACAGTGAGACACCCCAGAAGTGACAATCCCAAATCATAGGTCCCCTTTACCGAAGACGAAGACGTCAGGATTAGAACCTGGATTCTAGGTAGTGCTTGCTCGTCCATATCTCTCCGTCAACAAGTACTTGTACAAAGCCACTGATTTTAATTGATATGCAGAGGACGTGTTCGACGTGTTCGTTTGAGAGTGCCGCTTGGTGAATTAGCATCTGGCCCACACACATACCACTTCTAAGCAGTGGCCAAGAGCAAGGAGTAGAACGTCAGTACTGGGAACCCCCCCTGCCTTAATTGCTGCCCTGTCTTGCCTTCAAGGAAATCATAAAGTTAAAAGTGACCATTTCTGGGGCTGGAGAAATGGTATACATTCTGGCTCTCCCTGTGAAAGCCTTACTGCCTGCTATCTTTCAACTTTTTTGTCCGTGGAGTCATATTGCTAAGGACTTACAGTGTGATCCTTAGATATGGAAAAAGACATTGAGTGATCCCTGCGCACCCCTGGGTGTTCCTCCTTCCCCCAGAAGCCAGCTTGGGTGCTAAGGAAGTGATAAATGTGTCAAAATCTCTGCAGGACCTGAGATACGGTCCAGGCTGGCTGATGCTACTTGGTCCTCCCTGTCCCTTCTGTACTGGCTCCCTTCTGAGTGGGGTTTGCCCACCACTGACACAAGCAGGCACTTTAGGGACGTTTTATATATCTGGGCCATAGCTGGCAGTGATCCTTATTCCTGCCGCTGCTCAGGAGACCGTGTGGGGTGCTGGGGATTGACTGGGGCTGGCTGTGGGCAAGACAAGTGCCTTCATTGCCGTCTCCCATCCCTCCAGCCCCACAGCTTATTTTTATCTGATGAATAATCCACTGGAAAGCAACAAAACTCAAGATCTCACCTGCTAGGAGATCAGACAAAAACTGCTGTCATTCAGTCATCAGTCATCAGTTTTAGGCTACGAACACATTGTTGTAATGTTTTGTTATTGTTGTTTCAGTGGGCTAGAGCGATAGCACAGCGGGTAGGGCACTTGCCTTGCAAGCAGCTGCCCCGGGCCAACCCGGGTTCAATTACTCCGCCCCTCTCAGAGAGCCCGGCAAGCTACCAAGATTATCACGCCCGCACGGCAAAGCCTGGCAAGCTACCCGTGACTTGTGACTTACTGATATGCCAAAAACAGTAACAAGTCATGTTACTGGTGCCCGCTTGAGCAAATCAGTGAACAGTGGGAGGGCAGTGCTAATGCTACAGTTGCTTCAGTGCCACTCTTAGTCCTGGCTCTGCACTCAGGAATCATTCCTGGTGGTGCTTGGGGGACCATATGTGAGGTGACCGGAATCGAACCTGGGTCAGCCACATTCAGGGCAAATGCCCTATCCACTGTACCATTGCTCTGGCCCCGACATAATGTAATGTTGAAGAATTATAATTACTTGCATTGACGAGCACGGTGGGAGTTTTCTAAAACAGATAAAGGCGAAGTTGCTCCTCCGTGTTCTGGGTTGTGAAGCTGGAACTGCCAGCCTGGTGGGGAAGGAAGAGGGCCAGGGTGATGCTGGCTGCGGGAGTACCCGGTAGGACTGGGACTTTGAGGCCAGTACTAAGCTCCCTAACCTGCGGACATGCCAGGCTTCAGGGTTGCCAGGCTCTGTCTTGTTCTCTGGGCCCTGCTGGGTAATGCTGTCAGGAAGGAAGCTCTGGGGAGAGATCACTGGGTCCTTTACCCGGCCCTATGATTTTTGGTTCACACCCACTGGCGCTTGGGCTACTCCAGGGCCCTGCGGGTGATGGTGGTGGGGTGGGGGAGAGATGTCTCCTGGCAGTGTTTGGGGGGCGTTTCTGGTGGTCCTTGGAAGCCTGCGGGGTTCCAGGCTTGAGCTGGGGCATCTGTACACTTATCCTTGGTGCTATCTCCCTCCCCGCCCAGGCTTTTTCTTCTTAGGCTTTTTAGTTTTAAAATTTTGGTAAATACAGAGATTAGGATGAAGAATTTGTTGGAATATTACGGATTGCTTTACCTTTTGTTCCTTGAAGTTCTCGAAAATCACCTGAATTAAGACTTTTGGTGACAGTGCTGAAAGGCTGCCCAAATTATGAGCTTGTGCATTGCTCTTGTTGATGGAACTGTGGAATTGAAGCTTCACGAGGGCCGGGGAGATTATTTAATTTGCTTCAATTCACAGTTCCCTGAGCACCAGGCTAGGAGTAGCCTCCAGCACTGTGGGGTGTGGGTCCCCTCCCACAAAAAAAAAAAGAGAAAAGAAAAAAAAAGAAAGGTCAACAGAGAAGTTCAACTCTTGTACGCCTGCAAGGCCTGGGACCGAGTCCCTGAGCCTGCTTCTCTTCCTCTGTAACATGGGATTAATGATCATTCCCATCTAATTGGGTGTGCTGAGGCCGGAGTCCATGACCAGATAAGATGGTTTGCAGAGCAA